ATCATGTTGGAGTTTAAGGAGATTCATGTGGTCAAGTCAGTAAATCCTTCATAGTTTTATCTAATTGATGTAATTGAATTTTGATGATAGTTACTGATGAAATCTAACCTACTGATCGCATGAATAATATCGAAAGATACATATCATAAGTCTTACATTTCAACATTAAAATTTTTCATATCGAAAAATACAATCAACCTATCTTTATCGAAAGCGACTATAGTAATACCGTTGTGACATGTTTGCTCGTGATGATTGACATTGACGGGATACTGAAGATTGTGATTCCCAATGGCTATACGATAGATAAGAATAATCATGATTGATAAGTGACGTTCAATAGGCGACACATGATTGCGGAGGTATTCTATACGTAAGGAACCCGTGCGTGGTGAAACCAGTTGCGAGTGAGCATGACGGCACGATGTGACAGAGCAATCGATAAGGTCGCCAATCAGTTGTGTAAGAACAATTACTGCTTGGCGCAATAGCCATAGGCGATGGATAACCTCGCACAATGGTGACCACATGCCTCGAGCAATAGCTGAAAGAGAAAATAAATAAGATTTTATTTATTAAAATTATAGTTTTACACTTATAAATATTTTAATTTTAGTTTATGTCTTTTTGATAGTCGTACCCTTTATAAACTATATATTTTCATTATATATCGCAAGAAAAATTATAGTTTTGTCTTTAGAAATTAATTTTTTTTACTTGTGTCCTTAATTATAAAATTAACTAATTTAATTATTTTAATCAAATATTTTGATTATATTTGATCATAACTATATTTTGACTACTTGACTAGATTTAGATTTAATCAATTAAATTTTGATCAAATTCGAGAAAAGTTAAAATTTAATTATTTTTTACTTTGATCAATTTTAATTTTTGACGAACTTAATTGAATTGATGTTTAGTCGAATTTCAAGCCTCCCAAGTTAAATAGGGTTAACTAGCCTAATTTAGGATTCTATATAGAATTAAAAAATATATAAATTATGATTTTCTTTTATAATTTTCTCATATGACATATTGATAAAATTTTAGATGTGACAATTAAATTTTAATTATTATTCTAAGATATTTATTTAGTTATATTTAAAATTATAAAATAATATTTATTTTTTTTATATAAAAATATGATTTATATTTTATAATGATTATAATTATCATATGAGTTTTTTATGATTAATATTTAATAATTACTATGATTATTATTATTTTATTATTATTAAACTATTTGGATATAAATTAGATTAAAAGATATTTTTTGAATATTATTTATAACTTATATCTTTAAGTTTTATCGGTTAGTAGTTACCAAAGTGACCTATGATGATAGGCTTATTGGTATAAATTATAATAAATTTCTTATAATTTTATATTTTATATTATTGTATTGATCTTATAGTCATCAAATTGGCATAGACTAATAATTTATAAAATTATATTAAAAATTAGTCTTAAATAATATTAAGAAAATAATATTTATAATAACACATATAATTAGGAGATTGGTTAATCCTAGAGGAGAATCTATTTCGAATAATTATGTGATGATGTAGAACAATATTGTTTTAGATATCCTTGTAATTTAGAGTTGTATACCCAAAGATAATAACACTATTTAATAATGATGATATTAGTTCTCTATAAATAATTTTGAATGAACACTGTGTATATCTATATTTAACGCAAAGGTAAAATATGGATGATGTTAATAGTTCATTATATTTTAAAAACTCAAAGTATTAATGTTGTTTCTTTTTATTTTTTTTTGACAATAGTACTTCCTTTCATACACTCTTATGCTCCTAGTATCCTAGTACTCTTTGGTTTAAATTATTTAAAATAATTAGACCATATGTAGTTCATTAAGGGTATATTAGATTTTGACCTAGCATTACTTATTGGAAGGCCCATTGACTTTATTGATGAAAGTACTGTGGAACAAATTAATGAAATGAATATTTGAGAAAGATCTAATAAACCGAGTTTAATGTTTATAAAAATAATAATTATAAATAATATAAATATTTTATTATCGCCTACAACTAGCATATAAGAATATTTAAGGGCTATAGAAGATAAATTTAAATCTGTTAATAAATCTTTAATTGATACATTAATGAAGGAATTGACTATGGCTAAGTATGATGATACTTAAGGGATTCAAGATCACATCGTCAATATGACTGATAAAGTTATAAAATTTAAAGCATTAAGCATAAATATGAATGAGTCTTCCTCCATAATTTATCATATTTAAGATTCACTGTAATACAAATAAGAATAAATATAATTTGAATGAGCTAATTAATATATATATTCAAGAAGAATTATGATTAAGGCAAGAAATATCTCATAATATTTTGACTACTACTCAGGGAGTTGATAATAAAAAAAATATTGAAACTTATCTAACAAATAAATTTACCAAGTTTAAAAATACTAATGAAAAGAAAGCTAAGTTTTTTTTTTTTTCTGACTAGAAAGGACATTTGAAAAAGGATTACAAAAATAATAACAATGGGGCAACATTGATCTTTGTTTACTATAATTAATCAAGATATTTTTAATCGAGAATTTTAAGATGGTTGACATAAATGAGGTAACATATATTATTGGTATTGAAATATTTGAATATAGATTTCAAGAAATATTAGGATTATAAAAAATATATATATATTGATCGAGTTTTGGAGAGATTTAGTATATAGTTTTATTTAGCTAATAATATACCTATTGTTATGATCTTAATGATACTAAAAGGGGGTGAATTAGTGTAATAATATTTTTAATCGACTTTAAAACTCAGATCGATAAATCAACACGTTTCAAAAACTCAATTGATAAAGTTAAAGTTACAAATAAAGAAAATAAAACTAAGTCAAAAGTAAAGGGATACTTGATTCTTCTTCCTCGAGGCTATCAGTTTTCACTATCAATATTCTTTTCAACGGATGAAAATCAGTTACCATTGTTATAATTTTCTCTTTTTTCAGGTTAAGGAGATAACCTTTACTTTCTTTTTATATGAGATCTCTCATTTTTTTTAACTTATAATTATAACCAAACTTAAGAGGAGGAGACTTAAATTATACTCAAAATGAGAGTTTATAATATTTTACTAGTTCAAGAACCGATACCTCATCAATCAACCTGAGTGAGATACTTATAAGCCTAAAAGGCTTTAAGAATAGAACTAAAAATTTAAATCCTCAAAATTTTTAGTACCCACATTTACACCTCATTTAATTAAATCATAATTAATATCCAAGTGACTTCATAATTATCTACATAACTTAAATACTAATAAAAATAATAAACTAAATTTGTTTTCCCAACATTATGGACAGTAATCTTCTGAAGTAGTTGTTCAGATATACCAAATTCCTGATCCATCTACATGCCCTAATTTTTTGCTGTCATGCAAGAGAGAAAGTTTACAGAAGGGAGGAAGTCACTTCCCTTTTGGACCACTCGGAGAAGAAACCAAAGCAAAAGCTAATTAAGAAAGCAAAACAAATGTACATGTAGGATGAAGATGATGAATGAGAGAGGCTATTCATGAGGAACAGTGAGTACTGTTGACAATGGCTGCTCACATAGGTTGCTTGCTGATCTCCACTGGCATTGTTTGTGGTCCTTGAAAGAGCACAAGCATCAGACTGTGGTGCTGCTTGGGGTGTACAATACACTCACTCTGGCTGAGAATATACTTCGGACTCATCATCTTCCTTCTTGTCCTTTTGCCCTTCTTATCATCACCTTCTTCTTCTTCTTCCCCCTCTTATTTTTGGGAAGAAGTAGAGCACAAGACTCTTTTCGGATAAGATCATCCTCGGGAGATCGCTCAGAAACACCAAACCAAGTACTAAAGAATAACACAGCCACTAGCAAACCCTCAATGGGAACACTAAGCAGTATAGAATAGCATCGACGGCCGCCGGATCTTTTTGAACAAACGTGGAATATTGAGTTGGGTTATCTTTGAATGTGGAATGGCATTCAAATCTTTTTTTCTTTTCTTTTTTTTGCCAAATGATGATTTGATACAAATAATACTCGTCGGCCTATCGAGACTTGACAAGTGGAGGTTGACTTAAAGAAAATATAAAAATATATCGATTAGAATTGTCACATCGGGATGAATCAAGACACAAATTATAATTTGAGAATCGCAAGCTGTAAATAAGAAACCTATCGACAATGACATATATTCTTTTCTTATCTTTACGTTTCACTTCGATTAACTTGAGTGTCGAAAAGATCACGCTAAGAATGAATATATCGATGATGATAGATGAAATACGAAAGTACGTTTTGACTATGGAGGATTCCAATGCTAGTTGTCTCTATTTAAGATTCGTGCTATTGGACGGTTCTCATTATGCATCAAGAATTAGAACGAGAACTAGATCGAAATGTCATTGTAATTCAGATTGACGATCGGCACCATCCAAATATTTTTGACCTGCAGTAGGTCGATTTCATAAAATCTCGTTGGAGACAGAACTATGCTTACCATTAGCAAAAGAATTCTACACATTTATAAGACAGGAAGACTGATGCTTGTATCAGAGGCAGGCAGTTTGGAGTATGTTTGTTTTTGGTTTATTAGAGGGTACAAGGAGGAGGTTGAAGTCATTGTCAAGTGATGAAGGCTAGAAGCTGTTGACAGATTAATAGTGTTGCAACACTGCCTTCAAGACCACAACACCACCACAGTTTTTGCCTGTACTGACCGAATGGTCCTCCTCCATGCCCGGGCCTTTTAGCTTAGCTAATTTAAGGTGTGCAGGAACGCCTCTCCCACTCCCATCACAGGACCACAGTGCCAAAACCTGAAACCAGGTTGTTCTCACGATCCCAGCCTTTCAAGATCTCTGAGCAACTTTGATATAAACATACATGCATATATGCAGATATACCAAGTTCCAACTGGGTATATTTTGTTTCCCTCTGTACATCAAATCACAAGTTTCTCCAAATGACAACTACAATTCAAGTCTTCTTCATTTAAAATGTGGCAATATAAAAACAGCGACAACTCAGGTTTCCATTTCTCAGATAGTTTTGATTCTTTCTTGTGCATGAGCCCACCGCACTTAAAATAAAAAAAGAGTAACACAAAATAAGAAAAATTAAGAAGATAAGCTTCTTGTGGCAATCAATGGGTGTGGTGCACAAATTAAAAAAACTAAAGATATACATAAAACTTGATGTTGAACCAACCCACATCAACTTTGTCATCCAAATGGAACTCAGCTTACGAGTTGAACAAATTACATTATCCTCGGATATGCTTACAATGCAGCAATTGTTAGCCACCACAGTCAATGGTTGACCTAATGAATTCCTTTATTTCATTCACAACTTAGGTGGTGAGAAACATTGACACGCGGTTCACAGGTTAAACATTCAATTTAGATGCTTCTTAAACCAGACACCAATGTTAAGAAAGCTTTCAAAATCAGATTGAGGCCTGCAATCGATATATATATTGCATTAGGGCGGATAAAAGCTAAATTAAATCAGTTAAGTAGACGAGTGACTCGCATACCTATCAATGCCATGGACATCCTCAGGAAATACCAACACTTTGACATCAACTCCTTTCTCTCTCAGAGCCCGTGCATACTGAAAATTTAGTAATTCAGCACATAAAAAGAAAGATGGGGAACTGTAACATTATTAGAAGCTAACAACAACAATGACATTGGAAGACCTCTCTGAATTGTACTTGAGACTCAAAATGTCTCATAATGATATAAATTACTCATATCTCAACGGACCAGAGGCCCAGAGCTATAGGAGTTCAAAATTTTAATCAAAGTAATATCATAGGAGTTCAATTTTTTTATTAAATATATCATGGTATCAACTTACAAAATCATATCTCAAAGACACTGACCATGATATAAACATGGTTCAGATTTACTGATCCAGGACCAAGTGGCATAGAAAATTCACCATGCATATATTTTTTGTTTTCAACAACCTAGGACTTATGATTCCATTACCAACAGAAGATCGTGTCCCACTTTTTATTTATATGCATTAGCCTCATGTTTCCTCCTCGCTTCAACCCCAACACTTAACTCCTTTTTTCCTTGTAAATTACTTGGGGTCATCAAGAAAGAAATTGTGTTGCTCGTTTTCAGAAAGTCAGACAAATATAGTGCATCATTTGCACAAGGAAAATTCCTGTTCAATATGATTTTTGGAAACTCAAAACACCCAAAATGACTTGTAAGCAAGGTTTAAAATTTAGACACTGTACCAATGCGCAGACACATTGGTGTACCAGTTGATATGGACCAAATGGAAACAGCTAGAGAAGATGGGAGGAGGAAATGTTTGTAAAGCAAAAGAATTTAAAAAATGTAAGCATTTCAATCAGACTATATAACTTACAATGACAAACTTATAGCATACCTGTAGACCATTTGACATAGGAACTCGAAGATCTTGTGCTCCCAAAAGGAAAAGAATAGGCACTTTGACCTACAATTGCAAGAAAGATAAATAAGGACAACTTATTTATGCCAAGATGAGGTGTAGCAAACACTAACGTGCATGATAAACGTTAAATAGACAACATGATTGAAAACATTTGTTTGTTTGGCATCTATAGATAGCAAGTACCAAAACCCATTAAGCCTAATAACCTCAATTAGAGGTCAACTTTGTGAACTATGCTCAAATCCATAATAGCACCAGGCACATGCTGGATGTGTATCATTTAACTGCCAATAACTCCATCGCCTACTTTATGTGCATATAATAAGCATAACTCACAACAAATTCCAACCGGATGAAAGATTAAGAAATTTGTAGCAGGCCAAATGACCAATTCCACATACCTTCAGAATATGTGATATAGGAGATTTATTGTAAAAGAGACTAAGTTGTTCGGCTGAAGGAGCTTCCGAGAAGAAATTCTTCCCTTCCTTCCCACAAGCCTCTGTGTAGCACCAATCAGGGATATCGGTGGTACCAACCATTAGTGACAAGTTACATACAGGATTGCGAGCAGCTGCCACAACAAATCTATCTGGAGCCTGCAGCAAATACAAACTGAAGTCAATACCCTTTTATACAATCAATTATTAAACTGGTTTAATCTTTGTTTTGTTGGGGCAAACTGTTTTATATTTTTTTAAAAAATAATAATATTATCCATTTTACAACCTAGAATGTTAGATATTTTTAGACAACTAAAGAAAAAAACAGGCATACACACATGAAAACAGGACAAGTAATTGTAGTTGTAGAGAGAACATAAGCCTTTCTTCACCAACAGGCTACTTGAACATAATGCTTGATGGAGAAAAGAGACTGGCATCAGGTACAGATATGACAAGTGCCACTTTCTTCTCAGTAGGATTCCTAAAAACATCAGCACTACAGACATTTTATGTTGTCCAATAAAGTAAAAGTACAAGCCATTGTCTGGAAGTAAAAGTTTTTATGCAGTATTTGTACTGAATGCAAGTTAGAAGATTAATAATTAAAATATAATACGTACTGAAATTTCAACAATCTATCATTCAGGCTGTCAAGCATGAAAGTTGACTTGGAATTTAAATTGCTTCTTGAAATCTTGTATAGTATTAGTGTCATCACAATCTAAATATTGAAGGACCACTTGATATTTAACTTGGTGTTTCTAAACTTGTTCAGCATCAAAGATCCATTTACAAGGCCATTTTCTTTTATCCAAAAGAAACAGATTGCATCTTTCTTTTTAAACTTAAAGTGTGATGTACCATTCTTTTTACTTATCTTTCAGTGTAGATGAATTGTTCTCACTGTTTGGTTAATACAACAAGCAGTGGCTACTAAATATATTCTATCAACCTAGACACCAAAGGCCTACTGGTACTATAAGGACAACCCGATAGATGAGGTTACAAGTTACAACAACAGGTCTGCGGAAGGCAGATGAACACAATGTTGTTCCAGATAACGAAAGACAAACTATTGATGGAAAAAGTTCTCCAAATTCATGGTGCCATATTTAAGAAAAACCAATACAGATTATCACATCACACAATCTTGTATACCTCCATCCATCAATAGTTCAGACTAGTAATAGCTTTGGACATCACACATCATATGTCAGTAGGGTATCAACTGTCAGGGCTCAGAAGGCCTTACAAGACAACATATTGATAATGCACATTGTACCATCATGATTTTCTTCATTTGGTTTATCGAAAGAGCAAATTAAATAAATTGTATGGCTTTAATAATTCATATGCACTATAATACCAACAATAACAATAAGATGAGTTTAAGAACCTCAAATCATCTGATACCTAACCTGGCCCACTAAATGAGTTGTTAAGAAGCCTCCATGTGAACCTCCAAGAACAGCTACTTTAGATGCACTTGCAAGTCCCTCATCAATGACATAGTCTAAAGCTGCAAGTACATCTCCTACATCCTGCCACCAACAGAAAACTATAATCATGCCAGAAACTGTTAAAAATTCATTATTGCCACTGGATATAGGATATCCTCATAAACAGTTTCAAAAGCATGGACAACCAACAAAGCAAGTACCTGGCAGCCAATTCTTCCTGGAAGAGATTGCAATGCTTCTTCCCCAAATCCCAGTGAACCCCTATGAAAAATTTGTGCCAATAAAGTCATCAGAAATCCTAAACTATAACAGCCAAGACCTGACATAACAAGGAAAAGTATGGTATAGAAACTCTAAAAGAATCAAAAAGAAATATTCCTTGGAAAAAGAAAGTAAGACAGAATTTGTCTACTCCATATTACTATTGCTTTTGTATGCATGTGTGGCAATGAGAAACAGAAAATTAATCATCTTCAAGCCCAAGTTGGTTTAGTTAAAGGATTCTTAAAAACTTTTATATAAACCATGTTACAGGCTAAAGAACTACTGCACGGTTCCATCTCTTCATGACAAAAATTTCAGGGTAAATCTGAATAATACTTGAGGCAAGTTTGGTTGCAAAATATTGCATGTCTTCATTTAAGAACAACAGACATTATACTCTCCTCTTCCCTTATCATCAAGAACTATGAAAATGTAAATTGTATATATTTTGGCAGAAAACTAAAGAAGACAACATTAATTAGGCAAATCATATTAAATGACTTCTGTATCAAATCCCTTATTTCAAGGAACTCTAGAAAGCCATGATTAACCCATTAGGAAAGAGAATCAGTTTAATGTTGCTTTAGAGTGATACAAAAACTTTCGGATAAAAGTCAAATGAATGTGACCACAAGAAGGAACCTTATTTAATTTTGTTCAAAGATTTCCTATGATGGTGCAGCCACATCTTGATATTGAGAACAGATATCAGTAGACTTAGAAGCCTATATATGTGTTGTTGCTAACAGAAACAAAAAAAGTCTTTAGGGACTATATCAAGAGGGGACTGATAAAGCAAGAGAAAAAGATGATCAGAAAATGAAAACAATTAGTTAGTTTTCTTTCATGTGTCCTGAATGTAATTTCTTCTATACTAATTAGGAGCCATGAGATAGCTATAGAAGTAGAACCAAGGAAAGTGAATCATAATTCAACTCATGTTAATGAAGAAATTTGATTCTGTTCAGGTTTCTTCATACAAAATAATATATAACAGATGTATACACTTCAGTGAGACTACAAGTCTGAAAATGAAACCTAAAATATTATGAAATCAGCAATTAGAGCCACTTTATCAGAACAGATCCACTTCAACTAAACACCTAGTTCAGTGCCTAGAAAAAGAATTGACATAGAAAGAGAAAAAAAATTAAAAATAGAGGAGAGAAAGGAGCAAAAGAAGAAAAGATGATTATGTAACCACAGGCATCTACTATAACTATTATACAACAAGCAAATGAAAAGAAAGAAAAGTTGAGAAGGGAGTGACAAAGAGAAAAGGACAGTAAGAATAATAAAAGATGGAGAGGAAGAATAACCCTGCAGGCCTACTTTCTGACCAACCTCTGGGAATCAAAGCCCAAATGCAATTTACTATTTATGTTGCAATTATAAATATAAGTAGGTACTGACTAAATGCTATTTATTTAATGTAGAACATTTGGATAAATTTAGAAAGAAATTAAGGTAGCACCATTGTCTCCTAACAACAAATGATTGCAAACCAGTTCAGAACCTCAACCATTCCCATAGAGGCTCAACAAATTGTAGGTAAAAGAAATGCATTAAAAATTACAGGCTATTGAATTCTTAGGAAGAAACCAGTGAAAAGAAAAAAAAAAGGTTGGGTACTTGTCTCCTCATTCATATCAAAAAAAGAAAAAGATCATGCCACCAGTCCAAATGTATAACCTAATCCTCCAAAAAATGTAATAATACTCACCTGTAGTTCACCAGAAGCAAGTTGTAGCCTAATGTAGAAAGAAATGCCAATGACTTTGAATAGCTCGTCAATGAAACTGAATGTGGACCACCATGGAGAATGAGAACCAATGGTGTACATACACCATCTACTTTACTCTTTTTACATGTTTCCTCAGAAGTAGAATTTGAATGCTGTATAAAGATAGCCTCGAATGGCTTATGGGCACCTGCATATAGGCAGTAAAACACTGTTCTAGGTAGTCTATTTATTGAACTATTAAAACATACATATTTAATGAAAAAGGTCATCTCCAACATTGATAGCACAAAGGCTAAACTATTTCTTAAAAACCAACTCTAATACAGTTTACACTTTGCACAACCAGATCTAGCATAAACAACAATATGTAATGTCCCAACTAATTAGAAACAGCCAGACTAATATTTTTCCTCCATGCTGAGGGCAACATCACAAGTATATTTCATCTAGACAAACTAAATGAAAATTGTATTTCCAAGAAATGAACTATTATGTGACTGGCTCAAAACCAAAAGGAGAAAATTAAGTTTAATATCTCTCAACAAAACCCAAAAACAAAAGAGAAAAATTTCTCATTGCATACAAGAATTTTCATGTGATCCTTACCCCTTATCTTGAATAAAGAATGAAGATTCATTTGTAACTTCTACAGCTAAGTTTTATGACTCTTCTCCCATGTAAATATTTTCTAGCAATGTTGGAGATAAAAGGGAATATTGAATTTAATGATAAAAAAAATGAACATTCCTAAGAGAATATGATTATCAACCCCTAAATGGTGATTGGAAAATTACTTTTGGTACACTGCATTTACAACCACAAAAGCAAAATTAGAATGATTGACTTTAGGCCTTATTAGTGTAATGCATCATAGGAGAGCAGAATTATAGAGGCAAATAGGCACATGTTCCTATACTTCTATCAAAATATATGTAAAGAAGCAACAAGAGCAGTCTTTCATTAGCAATATCAAACATAGGAACACTTGAAATAAAGGATGAATCAGTAACATGATCATAAGAATTAACATGGTTGGATTACAGGAAATAATTGGGTAGAAGAAAAACCAGTAGAAATTAAAAGCTATAAGTTTGATATACAAAAAAATTAAAATAGGAGGTGAGCTACTGTAAAGCTGAATTATTTTTAACCCAGTGACAGAGTTCAAAAAATCTATAATAGAAATAGCAATAAAGTTATTAATACTTATCAGCAGTTTCTCAAAGAATCTCATACAACCATGTTAGTGGAAAACTGGAAAGATGTGCAATGAATTTTTCAAAAATTGTACAAAGAAAAATGCATGAAATTGCAGGGACTATCCTTCTGGTAGGTGGAACCGATAAATATACAAAACTATCAAACTTTATTGTAGTATGCGTAACCGTCACTAATTGCAATGCTTGGGATTTGATTTCCATCCTTATTATCATTCTGTTTGTAGTCACTATAGAGATAGAGAAGTTCATGAGATTTAAAAGCTGAAATTGGGGGAAAAAAGGTCCCTTGTGTTAAAACAAACATGGACCTACTGTTCCAAAAAAGAAGAGAAAAATTCACTCTCTAGCTTTTCACACAAATGTATGTCATGCCCACATACTAGAATATTAGGAGTTAAAATATACAAAAATTAATAGAGATTTTTCTAAAACTAGCGTTTAGCCTGAAAGGAGAATGAGCAATATGACAAAATTAGGACATGAGATAAACATATTGAGATGAACAGTTTATATAAAGCGATGGAACACATAATGTACTGGAAAAATACCAAAGGCTCGAAAATTTGTGGTGTCTTATAATGAAAGCGATGGAACAATTCAAAGAGCACCATTGACCCAAAAAAAATAAAAAATCTCAAAAAGCTAGCAAAGATTTAGAAACTATTATGATCAGGGTATAACACTTTACAAGAAAAATGTTGCAAAAAAAAAAGATATTAAACAAGCCATCCCAAAGACCAATCTGGTGCTTTTTTGACAAAAAAATAAACAATAAAATAACATATAAGATATTTTATCAAAAAATTCAGATTGAAGAAAATCTAAACAAGTGATTTATTAACTTCAAAGTTAGAAGGACCATAAAATAGAATTGCTAGACAAAAAGAATGTGCTCACACCATTGAAAGGGAAAAATATCTAGCAAATATTGAAAACCCCATCTGAAGGAACAAGGACTAATTTGAGAAATATATGAGCTAAAAACAACAATTAGCATTCATGCTAATTTTTCACATTAGGTCATGAGTGCAACTTTACAAATGATCAAAAGATAAATAATAGTTAAATAGTTATTCGTCTCTGATCATAATAGTACTGCAAATTTGAACTTAGTAAGTTGCAGAGAATCTTTCATACATTAATGCAGACCCAAGATTTCATAGTGTTGAGTGCTGACAATCAGCCCGACATAGGAACCTCATACCAAGGTTCTCAATTTCAGTCCGTACCAATGTACCAAGCCTTGCTCGGTACAGTACATACTGAGACATACCAATGGTACGTCGGGACGTACCGACGAGATACTCAAAAAGAGTTGAAAAACCTCCAAAAATACATGGAGGTAACAGTCCTAAAATACCAGGGTGTACTGATTGGTAGACCTTGGTAATGATCGAAATCCGGGGTGTACCGACCAATACACCTTGGTAAAGGTCGAAATCTAGGGCGTACCAACCGGTACGCCTCGGTAACAATCAGATTTCGACCATTACCGCACGGTACAGACCTCTTATTGTTCGATACGAGGTCAAAACACTGGTACCGCCTGGTAGAGGGCGGTCTGCATACTGGTATCCTCTTGGACCAGTACGTACCACTTGTACCGGACAGTATACATCGAAATTGAGAACTCTACCTCATACATCAATGCAACTGAATATTTCATAGTGCTGACAGATAGACAAGCTGCTGATCTTTTCAAGCCTTAGCTGGCCCAAAAAGTCTTTCTGATGCCAATTTCCCTTTTAGTTAAACTGTTAGACTGGTTCAATCAATTAAAGCGGTATGACACAAAAAACAAAGCAAAACTTTTAACTGCATCCACATTTCCACCCATGTACTAAGAGGCACCACCAGTGGTATATACCAGTTGGTACACTTGATTTACCATCAAGCAAAATCAATGCAAGAAATGATGCAGAGCTTAAATCCAGCTAATCATATATCAGGGAGGTGTAAAGTTATAGAAAAATGATAAATATAAGGTAGTGCTATATTACCTTTAGGAAGTTCTTCAGAAAGATCACTAACTGGAATCTTCAATAAACTAAATTTATGAAATGATAGCAAAGATCTCACCTGTGGAACAAGAGAGACAGAATCTTCATTACATTCGATGAGAATAATCTGATGCCACAAAAGTGAAAATGTACTAAATATACAGAGAACCTTATCAGAATATTTTAAAGTTGGGCTAGAAACATCTAACCAATTCCATGTAATTAACTGGTCCACTTGCTGAGTATGATATCCGTATTTGATTTGTGGAGGGTCAACAGGACTGCTGCACACTTGGTAATAGCAACAAAAAATATACATGTAAATTGATATTGAGTTTACCATCTTTTCAATTCATAAAACCCAAATGACTTTACCAGCAAGAATATCATCTCCGTCCAGCGCAAGAACATCCCATGAATAATTTGATTCATTAGGACTGATACGAGAAACTTTGCAGCTGTAGAACATATATATTCTTTAGCAGTACATACAGGATCAGTACAGCATTAACTTGTGGTACACACATGGAATACAAAGTACCTGAAAATATTTACTGAAAGTATTACTTGAGTGCTGCACCACACGGAAGAAACAATCATTGTACATCCATCAGAAAGCCATGGATTAGATAGGATATTTGACTGATAAAGCCCAGGGAAACAACCATCCTCAGGGCACATGACAATAGGGACCTGAAAAACATGATGATTTGAAAATATTTGAATCAAGAATTGCATCAAACTACTGACATAAGCAAGAAAACAAATAAGCTAAATCTTATATAATTGGACATAGGCGCAAGCAGTGAATTCTCCTGTTAATAGAAGTGAATTAGGTGTAATTGCCCATCACAATGTCCTTTCAGACCCTATGAAGTGTTTATCATAAAAGTAAGTTATCATTTTCTTAATTAGACAAACCAGAAATTTTGGTTTTCCCTTATCAGACAAGCAAATATGGTTTCTAGTTCATGCAAAGGGAAAAGTCGCATTTATTGTTAGATATAGCTAATATATTTAAAAGACCAAGTTGAAGAAGAGAACATTTTTAAGACAATATAAAGTCTTTAAGCTAGCATCTTTGCCAATTTACCTCTAAACTTAATTAAACATATGATTTTTTATAGATCCCAATGGCAGCAAAAGATCCATGTAGCCAAGGTTCTAAATTTCGAATGATATCGCCCGTACCGGGCAGAACGCTTGATATAGCCTCGTATTAGACAATACAGGGCTGTATCGGGCGATATCAGCTTGGTTGCGGCGAGGGAAGAAGAAGCATAGAGGGAGAAAGAAGAAGAAAGAGAGAGTGTTCGAAGAAGAGGGAGAATCGGGAGAACATCGACGTGTCCCGATCCGGTGCCGCCCTCCCTCGACGATCTCGATCCAGGAGTTAACGACCAGACGACGGCTAGAGCAATGGAAGAGGTGGTCTCCTTCGCCGCCTCGTCTGCGATTCAGTGGCTTCTTCTTCACCGCATTCTTCGCCGAAGGTCAGAGATGTCTACGGCCTTCGACGTCTTCACCGCCTTCTTCGCCGAACGCCATAGATGAGGAGATGAAGGAGTTCGTGTTCTTCTCCTTGTTTGAGGTGACGAGGAGAAGAGGAGGAGGTGATGTCACCGAGGCAGCATACACCTCCTTTTTTATATTTTTATATTATTTTTAAATATTTTATATAAAAATATATTTTTATATTTTTATAAATATAAAAATATCGAATGATATTTTTACGGGCGATGGTATGGTATGGGAGTATCGAGTGGTATGCCAAGGTATACCGAATGGTACATCTAAATAAATATATATAATATATATATAAAAACTCGATACACCGATACGGTACGAAATTTCAATCCTTGCATATAGCCGAACCCAAATAATTAGGACTTAACGGCTTTGTTGTTGTTATTGTACCTTTACCAATTTACACTATCACCTATTAAGTTTTCTAAAGTTTATACAAAATCCCATCCAAAATTCATATTTTAATTTCACTAGTTAGTGGGTTATGGTACATGGATTTTTTTAATAATTTTTTAATCAACAATTTCAAACTTGGAGAAAGACAGAGTAATATTTAAGTAATATTAGATGCATAGTGAATGAACATCAAAAGATGCTTATTGACAATATAGATTAAGGAAAGATGAACAAATAAACTTTATATATTATTTAATGAATATTTTATAAATAACTATAAGTGATAAGTTTAAGGATTATGTACTTTTCGCAAGTAAATTCATGTGGTAAAGGAAGTTGTTAAGAGAATAAGAATATGGATAACCATGTTATTTGATAATCCATATTCATGAATTCTAGCACAATTTTAAAATCGTTGTTGGTGTCCTAACATGATCCTCCCAATTCTTTTATTTGGGCTTGAGACTGACATTATGAGGTGTTTGTGCAGCCAAGATGATATGTGGATATGTAAAGTTACTAAAAAATATAAGAAAAGGAATATTTTCATTCATGAATAATTAAGGATAGCTCTAATAGATGATAAAATGTGAAAAAATCATCTAACATGGTATGAAAATGTTTGAAGTAAACTTATAGATGTTGTCGCTAGACAAGGTGAAACAATTAGAATTAGTTGTGAAGGAAATCAGTTGGTGATCTAAGAAGGCTTTGCCAGAAACTATTGAACAAGATATGAAAATGTTTGATTCAACTAAAGAAATTCTCTTATATAGAGCTCAATAATAAAAAAATCATATATCAGACCCTAATAATTAGGAAATTATGCTTGTTATTGTTTGTGTGAAAATTGATAATATCTATAGTCAGGTTTAGAAGAGTTAAAAAAATAGGACTTAATAAGTTTATTTAACAAAAAATTGAAAAAGCATATGATGAATAGAGAAGCCATTGGTATTGATATATAAGAATAAGGAAAATTTTAGAGTCAATCCAATCACTCAATAATCAACTTAATGAGTGATGCTACAAAACTTTAAGAAATGGCAATCAAAATAGTCAGATACAAAACAAATTTTTTTGAGAAATAGTTTGATTTTCTACTCAAAAGATCAGTCATAATAGACACTTATTCATTGAGACAATTAACAAAAAATATAGATAAAAGAAAAAAGATGCATGTGATTTTCATTGACTAAAAACAAAAAATTCCTAAAGACTTAAAAGATGTATCTGGAAAAGAGAAGTATCCAATAATTATATTGTGACTATTGTTGTAATAAAATGCATGTATGATAGAGTAATCACTAACATATGACTTTAGCTTAGGTACTTTAGATCTAATACTTGCAAGATGTACAGACTATATTGTTTGCTTTTTACAAGTGACCTTATATGGTGACCAAGATATGATTTAGGTTCTAACATGCACATTTTTATTAGTAAGACGAAATATTCCTAGTCAAAACATCAAAACAAAAACATACCACATGAACAATATTAACGGATTGATCCAGCTTTCTGTCAGCAGACCATTCAATTCTATGAAGTGATTCTGTTGCAGCATGAGCTCCACTTTCAACAGCACTCTTTGCAGAGAGGAAAACCAGATACTTTCCATCTGGACTGCATTAGAGATTTCACAGTTCAATGAAGCACTAAATCAGCTTATGAAAGTTCATATGGATACAAAAGTAATAATTACGTGAAGAATCTAAACCAATGTACCACAGAGGAGTAACTTATGATGCAATCCATGTGGAACATGTGATACATAATTTAGTGTCATCCATGTGGGTCCCTGTTAATTGTTCTTGTCTTGGCACAGTGCACCAACCCCCCTCTCAGTTATCGAGTTAGCACAAGTCTGATCCTCTCTTTTTTTCCTTCCTTTTGTTTTTGACCATTCATGACTCCTGAGTGCTTACCATGGTTAAGCATTGTCATACCATGGCAGGATGACATTTTAAATTTTAATAACTCTCTGGTGCAGCATAACTCCATGTTATGTTCATCAGCATGCCTTTGTGTTGGCGATGTAGGCCAAATTTTAACCTAACTATATATTGGCATTTTTTTAAATTTTTTGCCCTCAACATGTGTCAATTGGTATGGCAGTCCTTAATCATAGTCATATCCAAAATTTTAAAATTCTGATTGTACTGATTGATATAGTTTGGGTAGTCATCTGTCCGATAGCTGACTGGTAAACTCAATTCTGTTTTTTGTTATTTAAAACTGATAGGCTTCCTCATATGTATCGATGCTTGGTCGGCCACCCTCCCCCTCATCCACCACTGCCCGCAGGCTTCCAGCTCACCTTGCATGACTCTACTTCCTCTTTCTCGGTCTCGCAGAAACCTCCAGCTCCATTAAGTCACGATCCTCTCCTGCATCACTCTCCTACTTTTGTTGGCCTCTTCTGCCATGACTTCCTCATCCTTGCCAGTGTTCATGGCTCCTTCCACTCTGTCATCCTCGTCCTGAAGCAACGCCTCACATGCTGCCCATGATCCACTGTTATGATGTGCAACACCTTGTACCCCATTTCTGCACTATGCACCATGTAGAGAGGAGTTGCCCAAGCTCATAGTGGTCAACACTCCCCTCCGGCCTCCCACTCTAGTTATGGTGGTCCGGCTGGTACCAACCGGTACCGACCATACTGACACTCACAGTACTAGTACCCTAACAGTCTAGATTCCAACTGGTATTGGTACCAAACCGAGATTTTAATCCTTGGTTATATCAATATTCTTATTTCCAAAAGAATAAGATTAAACCAAGAATACCATTGAACATGGTATGCAGTACCGAATGGTACCGCCCGGTACTGCTACAGTGCTATAGTATTACACTGCAGTAGTACTACAATGCTCGGTACACCCTGGTGTACCGCTCGGTAAGCCCTGGTGTACCGCTCGGTATACCGGTACCGTACCGTACCATTGAATCTTTATGATCCTTTCTTGTAAAAGAGACTTCTCCTAGATCTCCTACAATTGGAATCTACTCAAATCTTAACTTTTCTACAAACAATTTAATAATATACACTCTAATTGACAAAACATACAATGGGAAATGACTAACAAGAACCAGGATTGTGCAATATAATATGGAAGAGCAAAAATATAGCTGCTAAATTTTTTACATTAATGAGCATTGAGTGATAGAATTCCCATTTAACAAAATCGCTTGTGGTGACAGTAAAAGTTTAGGATCCTATCAGATCCAGGAACAAAGAAGTCCAAGCAGAAGACTGAAAAGTTCGAGAGACATAGGAAACAAAAGACAGAACCCAGATGTTCAACTTGGATGTTTCTTGTGTAGGATCGGAATTTGCAAAATTGGCAGCAGTCAAGGAACCAATAACAAGTGCACTCTGAATAAATGCAAAGAGCTCAAGAAACTTTTGCTCAAGGCAAAGAAGAGCATGAGAAACTTGCGGTAGACAAATGTCCAATTAATGGTGATCTATGGAGAAGAACTTACGGATTTGGGATAGCCCTATACTTCTATTTTAAAAGAGCATGGTCAGTTAAGGAAGTAGACCAAAAAATCATGACAAACTACTTGTTAGGATTGTCAGGATATTCAAAGTAAATCAAACACCAAAACAGAACTTTGTGCTACAAGCTTCAGTAACCAATGTAGAGAACATGCTGGATATATTCAATTTTATGTTTCTTCTTTCTTTCCCTTTCTTTTAAGTGCATCCATTACGCCTAATATTTTATGAAGTAAAAGCTTCTTAATTCAACTGGCTTCAAAAGCAACCTGCCACTTGACACCCAATTTTGCCTCATGATCATCAAGGGTCCTTGAAATCGTTCAATGTTGGATCTCCCAATAAGTTAAAAGTTCTAGCAACAAACAAGTTTCTAGAAAAAGAACACTAAAAACTAAATGAATGCTTTCGTTATTTATAAAAATTTAAAACAGAAATTATGCCCAGCAGAACCTACAATAATCACAACACCAGTTACTTGCATGCCCTTTCTGTTCTTTTACAGAAAGAAAAACATGATTCCAAAGACCAAATAAATTAAGGGAAGCAAAATATATTACCTGAACCGAGGAAAGAATGCACTACTAAAGCCATGAGTCAAATTGACTGCAGTTGCATGGTCATCCATTTCGCCCCTGATGAATGAAGGTTAGGCACCATAAGCTATTACATCTAAAACAGCAAGTATAAACTACAAGAGAATACCGATCTAAGAAAAGGATTATTTGGTTGGAATAGAACTGCACACTCACTCATGTGACACTTTATTAGTACTTGGCTGGTGAAATGGATCCACAATTGCATACAATGCGCATGGCCTATTGTAACAATATTTAATACCAAGCTTTCTGGGAGAATTCTGCAGACCATTTTCTGCTGACCACCCAACAAATACCAACAATGAATCACTCCCCTTAGAAGGTGGGGCCCAAACAACTTGACCCACACTTAAGGAGCAAGGAATGCCCTTGACAGCTCGCACTTCTCCGCTGTACCATATGAAAAACGAGATTGTTAGTTTGCAGCTATATCCTTTCCTACACAATTAAATTCAGGATCTCAGACCTATTAATGCTGACAACAAAAAGTGAAGGCTTCCTTTTCTTAGAATACGTTTCACCCCAGTCTTCTTCCCAGTCTCCTTGTCCTTTCCAGCTATTACAATCTTTCTCAGCCGAATCTTCTTTCTTGAAGCCTAAATAATCAAAGACAGGTTTTGCTCGAGGGGGTTCTTCAGCGACATATGCAATCATTGACTCGTCATGGTTCCATGAAATTCCCTCAAACCTACATAAGAACCAATATAAAATAGAGCATATATCCACATATATAACATAAAGTGCATATAATTTTATCACATTGATCAGACAGACAGAGTATCAAATATATGGTAGCCAGAAAACTATTCTCCCTTACCATCCATCGGTATATATTGATCCATGCGCCGACTGGGGAATGTGAATTTCCTTCTCCAACATCGCCGACCCCCAAATTTCGAGCACCGTAGGCGAATCGTTCTCCTTATTACGAACCACGAGAAGCCTAGAACCCGACGGTGATGGAACCACCGTGGCCGCGCCGCTCATCTCGACTGGAAAGGTAGACCACTGGAAATCGACAGAATCTTTGCTAGCCTTCGAGATACGAGAAGACAATGTCATCGTCCTCTTCTTGTTGGCCAGAAGATCTACTTGCCTGACCAAAAACATGGCCCACGAGGTGTTTGCTGCGCTTACAAAGGGAAAGACGAAAAGGGACAAACATCAAGGACCCGCCAGTGCCACCACCGAATGCATCACAACGAAAAGAAAGGTCCGATCGAACCAGTGTCGGACTTGAAGATCCAAGCCTTGTCGATGATGGGAAGGTTGACGAATTCTTGGAGCAATTTGGACTGCGAGGCGTATTCTTCCGCGGTCGTGGGGTCGATTCCGTTCGGCGGCATTTCTTTGGCGGAGACGGAATCCGGCGCTTGCATGGCCGAAGACGCAGACGAGTTCCGCCTGACCAAGAAAGAGGGACAACAAAAACCAAATCAGCGAATACTGATAACAAGAAAAGAAACAAAGAGTAGGATTCGAAGATAGGAGTAGCCGATCTCAGAGAGAGAGAGAGAGAGAGAGAAATTACCTGGTGGTGGAGAAAGAGAAGGGTTTTGGAGCGGTCGACGACAAGAAAGAGGCGGAGCGAAGGAGGAGGCAGCGATGGAGGAGGGGAGAGGAAATGAGATTGGTAGCGGCAGTGTGGATGCTGGCCATGACGAGAAGTTGACTGGTTTTGATTCGTGCACCGATGATTGCAAGGAATCATCAGCCTGAGGAAATCTGCGTAACAGTTCTTGTCCGTACTCAAACAGGGTTCAAATTTCTCGTCCCATTAAACACCACCGCGTTAACACCATCGCGGGCCCCATCTGGTTGTTAGGGGGCAGGATTTCCATTCCCTGGTCTGAAACGTGGCATGGTGACCAGCGTGGGATCGAACGGGGAACCCGAACCCTATCATCAATCAAGTGGTCGTTCGAGCGAGATGGACGCAGATTAGCTCACGCTCCCCACTCAACTCCATCATCACCCCTCGTCTCTGTTTGCATTCACAGATCGCTGCAAGAACAGGATGCCGTCTCGAGTGACGAACAAACAGCGACCTTCTGTGATTCGGTTCCATTGTTCCACATGCATCGTTGCTTTTTCCTATCCATCCTTGGTTCGCAAGAACAGCGTACAGGGCATCTGTTTCATGGTATGTTTTGGATGCCACACCACTCTTAGGTGGCTTCAGAACGCATGAAACAGCGGCCAATCCTTTCATACCCACTGGCAGCAAGTAATCTTATCTTGCCATGACAAATCACCAGCTCTTGATAGCTCAAGAATCTTTCCTAGTTCAAGAGATGAGGTTATGACTTGGTTCGAAGAAACATGAGCATCACTGAGTTTTAAATCAGTCTCCCATGGTCTCAGTTTGTCTACTGGTAGAGTAGCTATGGTTCTTGAATGCCATCAAGGCCTCAGATTTAAAGAACTATGAATCCATGTGGATCCTAATTCTTCAGGATTTACAGTCCTCTACTGCAGAACAGTGCTTCCAATGTTTCAGCATTCAATCACCAGAGTAGAAAAACGAGTAGCAGTATATCATGACATGATGTCAAATATGATGTATCAGAGTGCAGACCAGACATAAGTGGGAAAAAGAAGAAGAAGAATAAATTTTACACAGCAATGTACAACAGATAAGAACTCAGTTTGTGAAGAGGAGATGATGTACTGGAAATCAATGCCTCCAACCGGCTTCCATTGAGTCCATAATTGCGCTAGTGTCTCTCATGTGGATTCCATTCTGACCCTCGGATGCAACATAAACAGTGTCAATCACCGATGGCCTTGACTGAAGAGAATTCGTAGTCGACTGCAGCTGAACCTCGTTTCTAGTATCAGCCATCGTGTGCAAGGATGCATGGGGCAACCAACCTAGAAGAACCACAACGGTGAGACTTGATAAGAATTCAGTGACAGAAATTATATGGCACAAGAATCTTGAGAGAATGTCTTATTTCACATACTGTTGATCAACATATATTGCTTTCCCTGTGAAAAGATGCAAAATTTTGATTTCAATATATATTTTCTTGATAACAGGGACGTAACATTCATGCCAATTAGTAACAACATAGATAAATAATAGTTGGTGAACAATTTGTGATAGTTGTACTGCCTCCATGAAGTGAGCCACGTAGAAGCCCATTTTTTTCGGCTGGAAAATAACAATAACAGGCATGTAAATGCTCGTTCTATATATAACTGATCCTCATTAGCATGGCAAGGTTGAGATGTTAGAGGAGCCACTAATAACTTTTACATTTGTGGTATTTGCCTGTTGTCGCCGAGCTAATTTGGCACATTTTAGTTTGCTTTGAATGCTAAAACCTCTTTTCTCGGTTCTCTTTTTGATATGACCTAGAAATTTAATCGGTTTAACAAGAGAAATATATGCTTAACAAAATATGTACAGATAAACGACTGGATGAGATGAGAAATACATTCTGTTCTACATGAAAAAATGCACAAACAATGCTTCCCACGAGAAACCAAACACAGAAAAGAGAAGATAAGTACCAGAGACATACACCTACATAAATAGGGAAGGGTGCATACCGTCTAGATGATAAGGAGGTGGAAAGAATTGCAGATAACAAAATGAACTGACTACCAATCCTGCAGATATCAAAAAATAGGTTGCAAGGAAACACAATTACTCAGTAATATTGAGACAGATTAAGCTTGAAAACTTGATTTGATTCTGCACAAACCTAGAAAACCTCCTGCAAAGACATCTTGCCAATGGTGCCAGTAATCGTCGACGCGAGAAATTGCCACAAGGGATGCACAAAGTAGAGGAAGAAATACAATGCATAGCTTTGCGACATGGCCCCTACGATCAAAAGCCTGGATTTTCCCTGCTAGATACCATGCTAAGAAACCTAGACCCGCAAAAGACCCTGCAAATGGATGATAAAAATCTTCAGTCCCAATTATCCCTGTAGTATAATTACAAAAGTCATTTAGAGAATGGCACTTAGATTAATGTCCATCAATCTGGTGTATAAGGAAGTCCAGGCACTAATTAGAGTAAGTCATGATGAAAAAGCTTACTAAGAACCCAAGCAAGATCAAACAGGGGAAGAGTCTCTGGAATTCATGCCACAACACCAAACATTCTCCAAGCTAATGATATAACCACTATGATAATTACGCATGAATCAGAACCACAACATCACCGAAAAGGAAAAAAAGAATGAAAAACGTGTGAAGTGAGTAGATGATTAACATCATGACATGATTGTGGTTATTCTTGTAGCATAAATCTTAGCTGTTGGAAGCCTGAAGTGCTACAAATGTCCAACATTTGAATTCCAGCAATCCAAAAATTGTTGTGTCTAACCATAGGCACCAAAACTCACATAAATTTGCTTATTTCAAGTTAACAGAAGAAATTATACAGCAGGATTCCATTCAAAGACATTTGAACTGAGAAAAAATTAACAAGCCTATCAGCAAAGTATGGCAGCTGGTTTCACAGAACAAAACTATGCTGCCGAGTAAAAAGCATGTCTTTGTAACATGGTATAGCTTGGTTTTTCCCCTGAATTAATGATAAATAATTTCTTCATTAGAACTCCAGATTTGATAAGGGCAAGAACCAATTTGTCTGATTCATCAAAAACCTAACCTAGCTAAATTTTTCTATAAGCAACACTTAACATCGGTAGTGCAAAACAAAGCAACAACAAATGCAGGGAACCATGAGGCATTCAACTCTTTTCACTAATATAAAATGGATTTTCCGCAAGGCCGCTCCATCCACCAGGTAAAGGAATACCCCAACTTACCTTCATACATGAATCTTGTGTGCTGGTAAATTGTCATTGGATGACTATTCAGACAGAGTTGTAGGACTAGTCTAGAAAATCAAATGTGGTTAGCACATAATCATGATGCTTTAAGAGGAACACAAAGTATCAGTAGCTAAAAGACATAATAGAGAGATGGTTAACCATTTAAAACATGATTTTGAGCTTAGTAACCCTTTAAAAGATATACATTAAAGTAGGATAGTGGTATAGTGTAATAAAATTGGATGCTCTCCCATAATAGAAACTGGATAAGATCTGAATATAAAATTATCAATACACAAGTAAACTAGGTGATTAGTTTGATGCTTACACGATGAATGTCCACTTGGAAAACTCTTGTGCCCTTCTTTGATTACGCCCTTTTCCCCATGGCATATAACTTCTGTAGTCACATTGTTGTAGATCTGCAATTTAAGAGTATGAACAAAGATTTCTTTAACACAAAAGCTATATGAAATAATATATAAGAAGAGAATTTTAAAAGATGGAAAAGGGAAATAGTGTAATATAATAAGTTTAGGACACACATCATTTCCATCAGGAAAACAGCGCCAGAAGAAATCTGGCCTTGGTCGGCCAACAGCATCCTTTATTGCATCAGTTATGACTCCAGTTATAAGCACCGAAAAAAGCAAGCCTGCTTACACATGTATTGATCAATTGCAAAATCACAGAGAAGCAAAGGAAACTGACAAGTACTACAGCAGATGAGGAAAAGAAATGTACCTAGTATGGCATTATGCAAATCATACACATTCCTCCTTTTGAAGTATATGCCAATAATAATCGCAAAAGGTAACAGAATGGCGATTAACTGCCACGAAGATGTTGTTATTGTTCCACAATGCACCAATGCAATATTAAATATCAAGCAATACTCACTATCACTTAAGAGAAGAAGAATGTACCGGAACAGCCCAAAATGGCACTGTGTTGCTTTTCAATGGATACCTCAGATCTGTCATCATGTCTTTTCCCACAAACCGATGATAAGGTTCTATAAGATTTAAGCATCCATCTATTATAGCGAGGAGTATGAGTATAATCCAGTCGTGCATATGAAATCTTGCAACTTTGGTTCCATGGGATCGCAATGTGTGAACTCCTAACTGGATATCTGGCATTTTTGCCTGATGGAAGATAAATAATGAATCAATATACAGGTATAATATGGTAGAAGCCTGAATTCATGCAATTTGTTTGACGTGCTACATGACCGGAGCTTTTGCAATCTGTTCTCAGACATATTTCAACAAGATCAGCAATTGCAAGTAAAAAAAGAATAATATAAAAACAATTGCAATTAGAGGTATCAAGATATGATGAGAAAATGGTTAAAACACGTCACAATAATTCACCCATGACAATGGTTTTCTTCTATGGAGTATCAGGAACTATTTTGAGAAGGAAAATTTTATGATTTCTCGCTGCAATCAGAAATATAGGAATGTTTCTCCCGTTGGAAAACGGTGTTTGTGAAGGGAGCAGCAATGCAGATGTCCATTCCCATGAACAGAAAAGGGGATCTGAAGATCTAGTTCTGAAGTCCTTATGCTATCACCCACAGTCCCACACCATTCTTGGATACTAGAGATCAATTTTATGGAGATTGAATCACCTAAATTATTTTTCAAGAAGATAGATGCAGCTAACATGAGGTCAAACTAGACTCATATTTCAACTAGAGTGACAAATGGACATCCTCAAATACCTATCTTCTATATGACTGGCTCTAGTGGTATCTTTTTAAGTTTTAACCATCTAGAACTGAATCCCTATCCTCTGCATGCAATTCTAAGAAGACTAGGCTGTTGTATGGGAGCTATCTTATGCCATGACTAAAACTCAAAAATTACAAAGTCATGATGTCCTCAAGGTATATGAAACTG